ATTTCAGTCTTTTTTCTTAGCACTGCTCCAATTCACGTTTCAAAGGGAATAGTAACCTTTATCTAGAAAGGGAGCCCTTGCAGGCAGGGTTGCCAGAATGTGCCCTGCTGTAGACAAGAAAGGGGAAGTGAAGCGGTACACCTAGCCCCCTTTGCTGCTGTCTGCAGCATGAGAGGGAGGGCCAGATCTGCTCCTGACACACCTTAGCCCCAGACCCAGAGGTGTGCGAGGAGCGGTGCCCTCTGGGTGCAGTCTCCCCCATCTGGGTCTGCTTTCACTGTGCTCCCCTCTGGGGCTTTTCAGGAAGATGTGCACCAACTCCCCTCTGCTCTTCTGGCTGGCAGTGGGGGTTAGGAAGCTTAATGACAGGCTGGAGGAGGCACTTGGCTTCTCCAGAGCATCATAGAATCTGGGAGGGATGCCCTGAGCTGCCAGGTGAGATCCAGTTGGGATCAAATTCCAGGGGAGCATCCTAGCTTTCTGGGCACTAGCTAGAGTGATCTCAGGTCAGGAGTCTTAGCACAGGAGTTAGGGTTACTGTCCAGCTTTCCCTGGAGTTAGGTGTTCCCAAGCCTGGTAACTGATCTCATCCTGTCTCCCCGTGAGCCTTTGCAGAATGAAGTCTTTGCATCAAGACATCAGGACCAGAACAGCGTGGCCTGCATCGAGGAGAAGTGCTATGTGCTGACCTTTGCAGAGTACTGCAGGTGGGTGGCGCCCTGTGTCTCTGACCATCCTCCGCAGGGCTGTTGGGGGCTGCCTGTGATCCCCAGGGGATCTCACTGGGCCTGACCTCCCAGAGTTTTTTCTTTACAACCCACTTCCACCATCTGATGTTTTTAGAAGAAAAAAACCTGTTGCCTGTCTGAGGGAGAGTGGTTGGACAGAATTGGGGGTGGTTATTGTACTGCGCTCAGAGAACTCGAAGGGGAGTTGGCAGGTGTTCGTGAGGGAGGCCCTGGCAGGTGTGGTTTCCCAGTGACAGAGAAGGCGAAGCCCCTGACAGGGATGGAGGTGGCACCAGGCCTTGCCCAGGTTAGAGGCACTTCCCAGCTCTCTGAACAGGGTGGGGAAGGAATTGGTCCTCCTGCAAAGGTGGCTTTGATGAAGACAGTGAATGGTGTGTTGCTGCAGATTCTGTGCCATGGCCAAGCGCCGAGGTGAGGGACTTCCCAGCCGGAAGACAGCACTGGTGCCCCCCTCCGCGGACTACTCCACCCCGCCACACCGCACAGTGCCGGAGGACACAGACCCTGAGCTGGTGTTTCTTTGCCGCCATGTCTATGACTTCCGCCATGGCCGCATCCTCAAAAACCCCCAATAGCCTCCTCCCGCCCACACTGGGGCTGCCCACAGGCAAGTGGGGCTTGGGGCAGGGGGCACTGCTTGAAGCACAGCACTTGGTTAAGGGGCCACAGGGGCCTGAGGTTGTTGGCCTGTGGTTCTCTAGGGGGGAGGGCAGGGGCCCCTGTGGGTTTTGGGTCTTACGGGAGGGAAGGGGGAGGCCAGGGTATAAGACAAGCATCGGAGCCCTCGGCATGGCCCAGGGTCCCACTCTGGCCCCCGGGCAGAGACTCCTAAAGAAGCAGTGTTCCCTGAGGCTGGGCCAAGCCTGAGGGACATTGAGCCCTAGGGGGAGGGGGAGGTCCTTCAGGAACCAGGCCCAACAGGGCTTTCTTTACCCTCCCCTGGGCCCTTCAAGGGGTAGCAGGAGCCAGCTTTACCTCACCCACTGTGACCCGCTGCTTCCCCGTCGCCTGGGACCAGCCTCTTTCTGATTCTAGCACAGCTCCCAGCTCATTCCTTTGAAGCAGAGAGAGCCAGAGTCTGGCTTCCAGAGCATCGACTTCCTCTTCCTGGATTCAGGGCCTTCCCCTGGCTCTCCTCCTTGCCCCTGCAGTCGCCCCTGGTGCTGGGACAAGTTACCGGGCCCTCACAGTCATGGGTGTCAGCTTCCTGTTCACCTCCTGGTGAGGGGCCACCCAGCAGGTCTGGCTTCCCTGAAGTTAACTGATCAGTATGGGGTTTGTCATGTCTGGGAGGGCAAAAGGGAGCTGGGGGGGCAGGGGGCAAGGAAAATTGCTACCTGATTTATTGAAGACTTTTCCTCTTGCCTTATACTTGGAGGTTCTAGGAAACCTCTTGCAGAACTACACACATGACTCTTCAAGCCACACCCACCTGAAATCAAACCAAAGGAGTGCTGTGGCCCCCCCCTTGCCCTGCCACCCCTTGCCCTAGTCTTTTGTAGATTGCACTAATTTACATCCCAGCGAGAAACAACACTGTACCAGTCCGCAGACCTGCTGAGCTGCAGCCACTAGCTGCAGGAGCTAAGGACCGAATTTTGTTTATTCTTGTTGCCCAGGGTCCCTGTTCTCACCCTGCTCCCCAGAGTAGATTAGGAGACTCAGCCCTCTGTTGTCCTTGCCAGGACTAGGACCTGGCCCTGGGGCTCTCTGTGAGGGGGCTGGAGCAGCCTGGTTCTTTCCTATTTGTACCAAAGAGGAGCATGGTGGAGAGCAGGAGAGGAGCCCTGTGTGGCTCGGGCCTGGTGCTGGGAACCTGCTTGTGAGCACACCCCTGGGGGCAGGAGTCAAGGAAGGCAGCGCTGTGTCCTCCTTCCCCAGGCAAGGGCAGACCCGGACCCAGCAGGCCGATAAGGGGGCACTGGGTGAGGACAGGTAGGGAGGGTCTGGAGAAGGGGGTGGAAGTGAATACTGAGGGCACTCCCAGCAACCCCAGCCCTTGGCGGCCCCTGAGAACACTGGGCCACTCCTGCTCCGTCATCGAAGTGGGAGAGGCCTGGAGGCTTCAGAGGTGAATTTACACAGTGAATGCCCAAGCCCAAACCTGAAGAGAAGGGACTCAGGTTCCCTTCTGTGGAATAAGCTGTTTGGAGGAAGGCATCAGTCCAGAGGACTCTGCAGTAGGAGAAGTTGGCAAAATAGGGGCTCCGAAGAGCCAGCCGTGGAGCCTGCTGGTTCCCAGGGTGCTGGGCCCTTGCCACCTGGGAGGCCGGCCCCACCCAGCAGGAGAGATCAAGGCCCCTCCGCCCAGGTCTGCTGCCCAGAACTTAAATGCTTTTGAAATCTCTTAGATGTGGAAATATTTTTTCGAACCTGAAAATGGAGCTGGTAGAATTTCGATGGAAGCATAATTCATGTAAAATATATTTTAGTTGATAATTTTGTAAAATGCACTTTTTGTGTGTGTCGACCCTGGTTTCTCAGATCTGTATTTCAGTGTTTACAAGGGAGGGAGGACCCTTTCCTTACCTCCCTTTTGACAGAGATTAGAAGTACTTCTTTAAGAAAAAAAAATAAATTTGAGAAATTGTATTGATTTAGAAAAGAATCATTTCCTGCGTGTCCTGTCGACTTTTTGTGTGTGGTTGTGGAGGGGCTCACTTTAGTTTGGGGGTCTCAACCCTTGCAGCACCGGGCTCACTAAAGCCAGTGAGCGGAGAACAGGAGAGTAGGGGAAAGCAGAGGGAGACAGAGGGAACAGGTGTCAGCGGTAGCCAGAGCCACCTACCTGGACTGAAACCCTTCGGTTGCCAGCCCTCACCTGGCTGGCGATCTGGTGGGAACTGGTCCCCAAATAGGTGCACAACGAAGTTAGCACCTCATCACCTTGGGTCGTGCCCTTGGGAAGCTGGCCTGCAGAAACTGGCCTGCAGCCCCAGTGTCTCACAACCGGCACTCTTTGCTGAGAGAATGGAGGCTCATCCTATGTGCTCTCTCGAATTGCTGGGGTTGGGGGGGATCCAGGAGCCTCACAGCTTCATTTCACCGCTCAGAACCCTTTGTCCTTCTGAATACCTGGTCAGCCGCAGCGCCTTCCTGCAGCACCCTCGAAGCCTCTGACTGTCCTGTTCTAGCACTCGCCCAGTACAGGCTGCCCTGGGCCAGCTGCTTCCTCCCTCCTAACCATTCTCCTTTTGGGCTCCATCTCTGAAGGATGGTGATTAGGAATTTGGGTTTTAGATCAGACTGACCTGTACAGAGTCTCAGCTTTCCTGAACCCCTCTGTTTCTTCACCCGTGCAGTGGAAATGCCTGTGGCACCTCCCTCCCAGGGTGACTGACACATGAAGGGGGGAATATAAAACACTGAGCAGGCCCCTGCCCTGGTAAACGTGGACTTGAATCACATTACTGCTGTGCTTCAGAACCTCCCTGACTCCACACAGAACAGGGTGAAATCTGGATACTTGACAAGGTGTCCAGGTCAGGTGGGGAAAGGCTGTCTGCAGACATCCAGGGTGTTCCCCTATCTACCTCATGGGGCCAACCTGGTGCCATTGAACACGAGCTTGGCTCCTCAAGGAAGCTAGCTGCTGTTCTGACCTCCAGCTGCACATCCTTCAAGATGTGTGCGCACCATTGGTCACGAGACACCAACTTGTTATTGGCCCCTCACCAGAGTGTCCCAGTTGTCCCATTTTTTCATGCCTGGGGGAAGGACATTCAGCATTACTCTGGATAAATACTGATCGACCAGGTATAGTTAAAAATTTCAGGGTCCCTGGAGAGAAGCCACTGGTCAGTGTCTAAGAGTCTCGTTCCTCTTTCTTGGATCAGCCAGGATAGGGTACGCAGGGGGAGCACACTGGGGTCTCTGTCGGGCTAGAACCAGGTGCCTCAAAAGTGGATCCAGAGCTTTGGGGGCAGGGTGAGGTGGCTTCCTGCAGACTAGCTGTTTGAAAGGAGAGGCTCAGCAGGCCAGAGTGCGGCAGTACATTGGGTGCAGGTCGTTTTCATCAACTCTTTGAAGACACTCGCCGGGACTTGACTTGCCTGGGTCTCCTTTGCCTTCAGGATGCGGGCAGTTTTTGTCTCCGAAACCCGGAGGACCAGGCCCGCCTTGCATCAGGCGGTGGGAGCCTACTCGTGCCCTCCCACCGGCTTCCAGCCGCTCCCCCCACCCCCACCCCATGGGCCCGCCCAGTGCCTGTGTCACAGTTGCCGGGGGTTGGAGAGCTGTCGGGCGGGACATCCGGCCCAGTCTCACCGCTCCCTCCCTCCTCCCGCTCCGGGTCTCAGCCTGGGAGCCGACCACCCTCTCCAGCAGACCACCTTCGCACGCCGAGGTCGCCAGTCAGTGCTCCCCTCCCTGACCCCCGCCCATACCCCCGAAACACTCGGCGCCGGCCCGCAACCTGAGCTCGCCTCCCAAACAGCGCGGAGCTCAGCTGGGCTGCGCAGGCCCCCACCCCCGATCACCATGTTCCCCTGCCCGCTGACCCCGCTGGCGGCCCCAAATGGCGCCGAGCCCCTGGGCCGGGCGCTGAGGCGGGCGCCGCTGGGCAGGGCCCGGGCCGGGCTCGCGGGGCCGCCCCTGCTGCTGCCGTCCATGCTGATGTTCGCGGTTATCGTGGCCTCCAGTGGGCTGCTGCTCATGATCGAGAGGGGCATCCTGGCCGAGATGAAGCCCCTTCCCCTGCACCCTCCCAACCGCGAGGGCGCAGCATGGCGCAGGACGGTCCCCCAGGCTGGGGGGCTGTCCCTGGATTCTGGAGACTCGGACTTGCAGGTGAGGCAGGATATCCAGAACCGGACCTTGCGTGCTGTGTGCGGACAACCGGGCATGCCCCGGGACCCCTGGGACTTGCCGGTGGGACAGCGGCGCACCCTGCTGCGCCACATTCTCGTGAGTGATCGCTACCACTTCCTCTATTGCTACGTCCCCAAGGTGGCCTGCTCTAACTGGAAGCGGGTGCTAAAAGTGCTGGCGGGTGTCCTGGACAGCGTGGACGTCCGACTCAAGATGGACCACCGCAATGACCTGGTGTTCCTGGCAGACCTGCGGCCTGAGGAGATTCGCTACCGCCTGCAGCACTACTTCAAGTTCCTGTTTGTGCGGGACCCCTTGGAACGCCTTCTCTCTGCTTACCGCAACAAGTTTGGCGAGATCCGAGAGTACCAGCAGCGCTATGGGGCTGAAATCGTGAGGCGGTACAGGGCAGGAGCTGGGCCCAGCCCTGCAGGGGACGATGTCACCTTCCCCGAGTTCCTGAGGTACCTAGTGGATGAGGACCCTGAGCGCATGAATGAGCATTGGATGCCCGTGTACAACCTGTGCCAGCCTTGTGCTGTGCGCTACGACTTTGTAGGCTCCTATGAGAGGCTGGAGGCTGATGCCAACCAAGTACTGGAGTGGGTACGGGCACCACCCCACGTCCGATTCCCTGCTCGCCAGGCCTGGTACCGACCTGCCAGCCGAGAAAGCCTGCACTACCATCTGTGCAGTGCCCCGCGGTCCCTGCTGCAGGACGTGCTGCCAAAGTATATCCTGGACTTCTCCCTCTTCGCCTACCCACTGCCCAACGTCACCAGGGAGGCCTGCCACCAGTGACCTTGTGCATGGGCCAGCAGCTGTTGAGGACTGGTTTTGATAATGCCAGCTTCTTGTGCCTGCCATTCATAGAAACTCTAACTCTGAGGCCTGGAGCTTCTCCAGATGTCTGGATGCCAGGGACTGCCCTCGGAAGTTCTTTGTCCAGAGTGGGTGCCCACCGTGGCTCAGAGGACCGGGTTGCACAGGAGGCCTGGTGTTTCCCCCCAGGGGGATTTCTTGGCAGCCAGTGTGATCTTTCTAGTCCTGGCAAAGCCAGGTACCAGTTTGCCAGTGAAGCAACACATTTGTTCTACAGACCGACTTCAAGGATTGTGCCGTCCACTTGGTTTACCTTAACCACTGGCCACACCCAGAGGTGGCACCCATCGGGGGGCACGACCAGAGCCAGGGGCCCACATCCACAAGTTAGCAGTCACACCTTACAAATAACTGTTGTACCTTTCAGCTTCAGACTCAAAATTTCCTACACTTGCCATATTCTTTCTATTTTTCCAAGAAAAGGAAAACTGAGTCAGGGCTCTTGCCTGATAGCATCCAAAGGCCCCGGAGCCCAGCCTCTTCTTGGGGCTCTGGGCACCACCTTCCCCCAAGGTTATGAGTGTGGCTGGTGTATCTGGCTGCCACTTTTATGACATGTTTATTTAAAATTTGTACTTTTTGATAGAACTCTTGTGAAGACTTTGTTTTCCTAATAGCTGAATTTTTAATAAAACTGTTTTGTATTCAAGTCAGCATCCCTGATTCTCCCTCCGTGCTCCTGTGCACTGAGCAGGTCTTCCAGACGCCTGTCTCCCCAGGTCAGGAGAGGGAGCTTGCAGGTGGAGAAAGGAAGAACCAGTGCACCTTGTTTGGGCCGGTCTAGTGGGCCACTGCCACACCGTGGAGAACGTGGGGGCCCCCTATAGGCCGTACCCAATCACAAATCCACTGAAGGGCAAACCCTATTAGGAATGACACACCCTGTGGCTTATTCCCTGAAGAAGGAGGTGGGTATGAGACACTGGCTCCTCTTCCAATTAGACAGCAATTGTTCTTGACTGAGGAGGCCCCCAGAGGAAAAGGGGTTGTCGTGTAAGGGGCGGTTATTCCTGGCCTTGAGAATTATAAGGAAGGCAAGGAGGCTGAGCAAGGCAGGCTACTGACTTGGGTCCAGAGGAAGCTGTGGGCTGTGTGGGAAGGTGCATACTAGCCTTGCTATTGGCCTGGTTTTGCAGGAGAGTCTGGGGAAGGGGGCTTCTGTGGGCACTCGCGGTTCTCTGCCATGACGTACCAGGAGGTCTTACCTGTCTTACTTGATCTCTTGTCCAGGTCGGGTGTCCCCCTTCAGGGTCCACCTGGCTCTGGGGAACTTCACGTTAGATAGCACTTAACCACACTCTGTTGTCTTGGCCCAATTACTTAACAGTCTCCCCACTGAGACTGAATTGTGTGAAGCTGAGACCATGTCTGTCTTGCTCCCAGAACCTAGCCGAGGTGCTGGCATACAGTATGTGGCCCAATAGAACCAAGGTGTCCATCTTGCTACAGGACAGATAGCACTGCACTCGGGACTCACCCAGACCAGTCAAGCCCCACCTCTACACACCAGCTGCCTGATCACCTCTCTGAGCCTCCGCGTGCTCCACTGTCTCATGGGAATAACACCTCTCTATGTCCATTGCTGTGAGGACTAAATGATAAAAGGAGGGCCCACCCCAGCACATGGTTTACTGATTGTTCTTTGAGGTGCTAGTTGAACATCTGATCCCTTTGCAGCCTGTGGAGATAGGAGAGAAGCCAGGACACTGTGTCCAACCAGTATTGTTACCCAGAGACCTTTGGACCCGTGGGTTTGCTTCCTCTGTAAGGTTCTTCTTTGAGTCTCTGGCCCCTCAGGAGTCCTCTACCCCCACCCTGCCCCAGCGTCTTCCTCCTTGGCTGGGAAACGCCCCTTTGGACCTGTAACGACTACTTGGGCCCCCTTAAGAGGCTGTGGTGTGGGACCCAGAGGGCCCAGAGGATGCTGGGCCCAGCTGCTGTGCTCACCGCATCTCCGTCCTCCCAGCAGCCCAATACCACAGCTGTTGTTCTGCTTCAGAGACATGGAAACTGGCACAGAGAGGGTAGGTACCTGCCCAAAGTCCAGCCCAGGTCTGCATGCTCCCAAACTGGGAGCCAGAAGAGAGAGTGGGGGTGGCGGTGGGGGGTGGGGTGGAGATTGTGGAAGGTGGGGGTTGAGAGAAGAGGCGATGAAAATGGAGATTAAGGAGATTATCCTCTCAGGCGTTACAGGGTGGACTCCTCTCCTCTCAGGCGTTACAGGGTGGCAGCCGCAGAGCATCCCGACAGGCAGTGTCGGACACCTGCGGTGTGGGCAGGGGGCTTTGAGGTAAGAGCATGCGGGGGACGGCTGAGACAAACTGCCACTTACTGTCATTTTTGTCCCTGGAGTTAGACTTTGAGGAAATTAACTTGTCACCTACCCTTCCTTTCAGGAAAATAGACTTCTGAAAGAAGCTGCCAAGGAGGTGGCAGAGAGTTGTGGGGGTCCAGCTGGCCCTAGTGTGGCTTGCCTGACATAGAGCACCTAGGCCAGAGCTGGGGGTGTAGGGGCGGCAGGCTCTGGGACGCCCGGGGTTGGGCAGGGCATTCTCAAGGCTGGACGACCGGACTGTGTCTCCTTGGAATCCTACGTCCACACTGAGTTGCCTCTCATCCCTGCAAAGAGCCAAGCCCTACACCGCTGACTGTGAGGACAAGGGTGCCCCTTCAGAATACACTCCATCCCAACAACCCAGGTCTCCTGGACACAGGGGGATGGGGCTGACAGTTGTTTAACTTCTCTCCAAGGCTGAGGGCGATGATCAAAGGGAAGGGGAGGAGCTAGGAGGGGCCTGGCCTTCCAAGTCTGGGCCCAGACTCCACTTCCAGGCTCCTGTTCTGGTCCAGTTTTCATCCTGTCAGATACGACGGCCCAGAAACCGTCTCACCTTAAATTCTGAGATTGTGTTCCCTTCCTTCTCAAACCTCTGTTCCCTCCCTCCAGGAGGGCCCCACCACATAAATGCCCTACCAGAAGCAAGATCTGACTTGAGCAGCTGATCCTCCTCCCAGGTGAACGCAGAACCCTCACCTTTCCCACGGCCCCTCGCCAGAGGTGCCAAGCCCTGGGCCCTCTGTCAGGGTGAACGGAGTGCTTTTCACATGGAACCAGCCCCTACCTGGCATCAAGCAAGGCATTCTTTCTCTTCCTAAAGGAAAATGCTAATAATTAACAATACCGACTCTGAAATGAGAGCACCTGTGCCTGGCACACTGGTAAGTCCTCTACACGTACCCCCTTCATCCTAACGACCACCCAGCCAGGTAAGCAAAATTATTTCCATTTTATAGATGAGGAAAGTAAGCCTAAGGGACTTGTCCACAGAGATGACGGGGGTGGGATTAAAACCCAGCTCCGTCTAATATTTGCTCCTTTGTAAGTGAGCACATACCATAAGTTCTCCGCTCGTTGCATCCACAGGATAAGCAATCCTGTGGATTGCATCCATCGTTTTCTCAGAACTCTGCACCCATCTCCAGCCCTCCTTCCCAAAACCCCCGCGAGTGCCTCTGTCCACAGCTTCTTCAGCTGTCACAAACCCCCCATGTTTGCTGCCCTGAGAACAATGTGCCAGTAGTGCCGGGGCCAGACCGTGAATATACTAGGCTTTCAGTTCAGGTCCTCCGAGGAGTCAATGCCAAGGCAGAATTAGACGCGCACGAGATTTATAGGAGAAACAGCTGTGATGGATGAAGGGGCAGGGAGTAGAAGGGGCTGGGACAGCCTGACCGCTGTGAAAGGAGAGAGGGAAGGAGAATTGCGTGGGAAGAGTCTCAGATTTCAGTGCAGCTCTAGGAAAGTCTCTGCGGGGGACAACCAAGGGGGGGTCCCCGGCAAAGGTTACCTACTGGAGGAGTCCTCCCTCGGGCAGAAATGGCGGGACTGAGGCGTGGGGTGGTCTGGGGTGGGGTGGGGGTGACACCAAGGCAAGTCAAAAGATCGAAAGCGGCAGAAGCAGCTGGGGCCGTGGGCTAATCACACTTCTCACAGCGGGGTGTCTTGAAGGAAGATGTGGACACAGCAGGTCCATGGCTGCCACACAGGCCCAGCTCGGCTACTCTGACCAGTGGCACTGGTTCTCAAAAGTTCTGTTGACATATGACCTTTTCAACAACCAGAAAACAGCTGCTGGCCTAGCAAGAGCCTCTGAGATGTTCGGGGGCGGGGGGCGGGCGGCCCCAACTCACTCTTCCCCACGGCCGGTCCTTGGCTTGATCGCAGCACTGCTGCCTCCTTCATCTGGGCCCCTTCCATGTTGGAAGGTGTGTGCCACCACCATGCCCGAGTGGCCGGGATATTTCCCCTGCAGTTCGCCCAACTCACTGCAGTTAACTGGGTGGATATTGGTGATCGCCTTTGCCTAGCTTTCGTCTTTCATAGGCTCACGTGCTTTTGGGGGAGAACGCACACCCAGAGGCTGAGTCTGGGTGCTAGAACCCCAGGCCTCCCAGGGCATATAGTCTAGGCTTTTTCCTCAGTCTGATCATTTCCATAAACTCCAGGACAGCCTGAGACGGAAGCGAAGTCTCCCCAGAGGGAGCTTCCGGGGACCGGCATGCCCGTAAGTACCAGGTCTTCTGTAGCATCCCCTACTGAGATCTTAGGCTCGTTTCGTCCCAGTCCTGGACCGGTCTGCATGGGAGTCCCAAAGGGACAAAGAGAATCACAGCATCCGTCCTCATTGTTCCATGGTGAGGAGACAAAGAGGTCCCGGTCAGGCCGGGTCACCCTGCCCTTCAACCCTCTGGTAGGAAAACCATGCCAACCCCAGCCTTGGGGTGGGGCTTTGGGGACAGAAAGACATGAGGGCCTTCAGGAGCTCAGTAAGGAGGAGCCTGTCATGTCCCTCCTGCCACTGGCTCAGCAGCTTCCCCAGACCTGAGGGGCCACCACCTCGCTGACTATCTGCAGATGGAAGAAGCCAGATATTCCACTTCATAGCAGCCCAGGGGGCACCCACTGGGTCATTTCTCTGTCCTCTGCCCCGGAGAGACTGAGCTGCCCCTGGGACCCCACCAGAGCCCCAGCGGTTCGAGCACTGTGTCCAGAGAGGCCATCAGAGCAGGGGAGTCCATGGCAACCGAAGATCAGGCTGGCCCCTGAGCAAAGGGCCCCAGGCTGCCTGGAAGGAGGGCCCCGAGGCAGGCCCAGAACAGTGGTGGCGTTGGCTGGGTGGGGCGAGGGAAATGCCGCAAAGTTTTCTGATGTAGGAGCTAAACCAAATTGGGGGTTAGCTGACCACTGGCAACCCAGGCATGCCTCCCCCACCCACCAGTGAGAAGCTGTAATGAGCCTCTTCCACAGAAGCTGCTGGACACAAGAGCAGGCCAGTCCCCTGGTAGGGGGGTCTCCTGTTGTCTGGAGGCAAGTGGCCAGCAAGAGAACGACAGCTGTTCTGATAGCTGAGGGAGCTGGACTAACTAAAGCAGGAAAGCCAGGAGAGAGAAGCCAGCCCCTGGGCGACTTTCTGGGAGGACTCTGATTTTAGTTCACTGAGACTACCCTCAGCCCAAGCTCCCACATATAACAAAATGAGTAGGTGGAAGACAAGGGGAGAGATGGGCGAGAGGAGGAACAGAACGAGAAAGGGGACGTACAGGCTCAGCTCAGTTGCCTGGCCTTCCCGAGGCTTCTCTCAGCTACTG